CCCCCCCCTGTTCCCCGGACGGAGCCACGCGCACAACGACACAGCTCGGGAGTTTTGCCACGCAGGGCAAACGTGTTGTTTCCAGTTCACACATCACTCTCAGGTGCCAAACACCGCAGGGCCGGGCAGACCCGGTGCTGAGCTGCTGGAGGCTCCACACCGCGGCAGCTCCACCATCTCGGCCTTCGTGGACGTTCTCGGGGTACAAGCGAGGTAATAAAACATCCTTAACACGATTTCTTACCCCCCACCCCCCCGAAGATTAGTTCTGCTGTAACAAACTACATTCTAAATTACTCAACCGAAACAAAGAAAGGAAAATAAAAGTGGGATTCATTGAATTTTGAACTCTGTGAGACTGACCTGCAGTTAACTGTCAACACATTTGACTTCTTTACAGCTGTTGTAAGATTACCTATGTTGTGGAATTACAGACCATTCTGCACCATTTCTGGGTACATCCTGGATTAGAAAAACCTGCAAGAGGCTTGAAAGCAGTTACACCGAAACGATGAAATTCAGCTAGCTTCTTAAAAAACAAACAGCCCTGAGAACGTGGCTCAACTAGCAAGAGCCTAGTTGAAAAACCACCATTGTAAGCAAAAATTAGAAGGATCTACTGAAATCTTAAAGTATTATTTGCCAACATTTGAGGCAGGAAACATTGCAGTCTTTCCAATTCTGTAAAGTAGTAACAGGAAACTCCATTCATTTGAGCCATTAAAAAAAATAAATGCATTATTTGGAGTGGAAATACTTTTCTTCACCTTGTTTACACAGCCTTTACTCCAAGCAATTGCCACCAGGTATAAGAAGTTTCTAGTTTTCACTTTTGACACAATTTAAGCGTTAAGACTATACTACAGAACAAGTACATTGGTAAGGTTTGTTTTAAAGTAAAGCTATGAAAGGAGAATTTCCCCAAGAAACTTGGTTAGGGAACTTAAAAACACGCATCTCTATGGACTATTGATCACAAACAAAGTATGCTGCAGGTTCTGACAGTAAACTGAAACATCTTGCTTTGGAGAAAATGCCTCAAATACATGTTCTAATTTAGAAGCAACCTTTAACCTTACTGAAACCTGGAGATTATGCTCAAGATTCATGCTATGTATTACTTATGGGAAACTTCATGCACGATGAGCCAATGCTCTGCACTTCCACAGTGTTTGAAGTGCTTCACAAAACAACAACTAAGTATATAAGAACAAACCAATAATGAAGTACTTATTTGTTTAAATCTTGCAGAACTGAAGGTTGCAATAGAAAGACATTTGTATGTCCCAAGGAGGGCTCTTCCAGCAAGCTGGAGGACACAGAATCCTGTATTTAAATTGCTGTAGTACCTGAAAACTCCAGTCAGACCAGGACCCCACTTGTAGGAACAGGGCAAAAACCAGCCCTCATCCCACAGAGCTTACAGTCCAAAATTCTTAGATGGTGGGCCAGTGGCTTCAAATACCTGCCTTCCATCAAGAGGACTGGACAGGCACCTGGAAGTAGACTAAAGCACGACCAGAACAAGCACAAATCCAAGTCTTGCCATGTTCAAGCACATCAGAAGTATCCGTAATGCAGTGATAGTCAGAACTTGCTTTAGTTTGATATAACAACCTAGGGCTTCCCATTCAGTATCACACAGCTCAGCCTGCTGCCAAGACCAGCATCAATGGTTTCACAGTCACCTCCTAAGCCATCGAAGACTGTCCTTCAGGTACCAATTCTACAGAGTGGCAGAAAGGAGCACACTGCAGATAAGCTTGAACTGTTAATCCTGCACTTCAAAGCTTTCTGAATGCATGTCAATCTCTTTCAGCTACAGCTTTTTCCTGCAACATGTATTGTGCTAGGCCAGAGCATGTGGCAGAGCCCTGCTTCTGCCAGCTGTCCCAGGTAACTGTGCTTTATTACCAGAGTGTATTTATTGCTGTCTTTACCTTCACCACACTGCTCTCCCCATCACGATATGGAAAATGCATGTTTTTGCCATCTACATTAGACCTTCAAGGTTGGCTAAGCCCTGCTACAGAGTGCACTAGGGCAGTTCAGGACAGTTGCCATGAGCCCTTTGGGGATTAGAGAGTACATACTATTAAGCTGAAAACATTTTAAGCAGTTCAGAGCAGCATGAAGCCTGACTCTGGCTGCCAATGGAGTGTGAGCTGTGCATGCTGTGCAGGGCAGCATGCCACACGTTTACAAGTCATCCTCCATTAGCCAACGGCCACCGAAGCTTAAGGCAAGTTCATGGAGCAATGTCTCAACTGTGAAGAGAGGTCTGAACCACAGGCTAAGGAAAATATCCCATTTGTGATGACTCACCAAGTCTTAGGATTCAAGTTGAATGCCTTCAACAGAAGTAGGCTCGTTATCCTTCCATGACTAGTTCTATGAAGCCTTGTGCTTGCCTGTTAAGCGACTAGTTATAGGTATGCATGCATGTTTCAATGACTCAGAACTCCTTTGGAGAGGAGCTAGCTTTCATAATTATGTAGCAATTTAATTCTATAGTTAAGCCATGGTTGTTCAGTGTTGTCGGTCAAGTCTCTATTTTGAAAATACAAGTTTTATTTCTTTAAAAACAATCACATGCATTTAGTTTCAGCTCGATGCTACAGTTTGTCCCACTTCTTGAAAAACATGTGGTTCCTGTGCTACTAAAATATGGTCTGAACCTTAAGATTAAAACCTAAAGCTGGAAGCACTGCAACAGATTCCCATGGAGTTTGTCACCCTTTTATAGTTTAGGATAAATACAATAAAGGAAAGCAATTGAACTGCATTTTTCTATTTTATTTTTCAAGTCTGACAAAGGCCTCGAGTGAAAGTCTATAGCTTTAACATCCATTCTCACCTTTCTGTCCCTTTGACCTATCTATGTCTTACCTACCCAATATTCCAACTGCCTGCCTAAACCACAGGTAGGCTGTGACACCACTTTATTGTTCCAATAAGCCAACGAGTTGGCAAAGAAGAATACAGAGGTAATACAGTTAAGTTGCACGTGGCCACTGGGGCTTGGTCAAGCCAGCTGGCATTTTTGATCACTTGAGTTTCTTGGTCTAAAAGTTGCGATTGGCACCTACAGTTCTGCAAGAGTCCCAATCCACAAAATACTTAAGCTTAAAACAAAACGAAACAAAATTTGCTACTTTTATTGTCAGTTCTATCTAAACATGTCAAGAAAAAATACTATTTGTGCTCTAGGTCACTTTATAATCCTAGATACCTACCAGCTTATCTAAAAGCCCCTGAATACTGTATTTTGTCTGTTCATACAGACAAACACTGTTTTGCTCAAGCAAATAAAAATATATCCACTAGTAACACCTGATTGGTTTCTTAGATCCATAGCTGAAACCCACAGGAATGTTAAAATAGTTACAATTAAGGAATTAAAATCTCAGTGATTTTGAAAACTGCCAGTTAGCCTGCAACACTAATCCAGAATCCAGTGCTGCTTTTGAACAATTCAAAAAAGAAATGAGGTTGCTTGTGAAGGCCAGAGCTTTGGTGACAATAAGAACCAAATTTATAGATCTGTGGTTTGTCCAGACCTGAGCAGTTGCCCGAGGCTGGGGATCCTCTTTATTTGCAAGGCTTTATGGCTACAGCACATTCTTCATTCATTGCACTTATGACGGATATCTGGAAGAGAAGACAGACAGGTGAGCTCCAGCCCATGACAAGACAAAGCATTGCTGGAAGTTACAGACATTCACATTTTAATATCTATCCCATCCCTCTTGAGAAGCAAAAAGGAAGCTGAAGCTGGTCAGTCATTGGCAGAATTCCCACAGTATCCACAATCCCTTCCCATGGGTTTGCTCCTGTGCTGCCTGCTCTCTGCCTTGGCTGGCAGCTCGAGGTTTGTACAAGAGGAGGGTGAACATGCTCCTACAGTACAGCCAAAATGGAAGCTGGTGCAGCCCAGTGCAGTCTGCAGAGCTACTTCCAAACAGGTTTGCTAACACAGCAATGAGATGGGCTCAGGCTGCATCACAAAACTTGGTGCTATTAAGAAAGCCTGGAGGCTGCACTCCACACAGACAGTGCTGTTAGGATTTACCCAGGCATTTGAGAGGCACCCCTGACACCTCGTGGCCAGCTGAGCCAGACTCCAGTGCCACGCTGGGTGCTGCTGTACCCAAGTCCTTCTGCTTCTCAGAAAGGACCAATACCCATGGCTTCTAACCTGCTCTTCACAGAGCAACACACACAGTATCAGAGTAAGACTCTTTCATTTTATAAGCAAGTGGAATTGACATGACTCTTCTTATCTGCCCTCTGTACTTACCTGCACATCTTCATTGGCATTGAATTTTCCTTCTATTTCTTTGCCAAGATCCCCTTCTGGCAACTTCAGATCCTCACGAACTTCACCACTTTCTGTCAGCAGGGAGAGATACCCATCCTGAATACCTATCAGCTGTGGAGAGAAGTTAACTTTTAGCAAGTTTTAACATCAGTAGTCACTAGTAGGCACCAGCTGAAGACAAGCAGCAGGCACACTGAACCTGTTACCTTCATTCTTTAGCACTGTAACAGTTAAGAACCAATTTAAGTCAGTTTTTAACAAGAGCTGAGAGGGCTGTTAGAGGCAACTGTAGCAAAAGCCAGTCTGCTGTCAAGAGTTAGCAGAACCCTGCTGGTTACCTCCCAGTACTGGGGCACTGCAATGCTCACCCTTTGACCAAAGGTCACTGCTTCAGCTTTTTACATCTGTGAACTAGAAACAGTAACTGAACGGTGCTCACTGAACAGCATTGCTTTTATGAAGTGAAAAAAGTACAAAATGGTTGACCTGTACACTTCTGTACCTTTGTTTCTACAAAGAGATACTATTATTTATATTAAAAGCTAATTAATGAATTGGGGAACATACACCAAGTCTGGACTACTTTCATATTGCTGTTTTCAGAATAAAGGGACTTTACCACATGAGCCAGGAAAAATGCTGTTCTGAACTATGTCTCTTACCTGTAATTTCTAAAGACTGCTTTTAGAACATGAGGCTGTTAGTAGAGTCAGGAGCTCTGGCAGTTTTAACAATTCAGTAAATGCTCTGAGTTCAGCAATGTCGTGTCTCGACAGGCCAGTCCCATTAGTTCTGGCACCAGTAAATGAGAGGCAGGTTTTGGGATGAAGAGTTTGTGTGGCTTTAGGAGCCTAAAGGCCTCTTAATGTGTGGGAAGACACAGTGACTCCTAACTCACCTGGTAATCACTCCTCTTGATATTTGGAACATCCATGTTATGAGTTGATGGGCAAATATCTTCATACTTTTTACCAGTGAAAATATCAATACCAACCAAGTGGACCTACAACAAAAGAGAAGTAACATGGGTTACTGCTGGATTGAAAACTGGTTCTGTCTAATAAAACAAGCCATTAAAAAGGCAAGTGGAAGGAGGAAGGAAAAAGTAATGAGACCTTGATATACTTGAGCTTGGACAAATACTAAATACTTTCCCCACCTATATGTAGTCACACAAGGTTGACGAAGCTTACAACTCTTAATTAATCCCTGCCTGCAACAGATCTGCCTCTAACAGCCCCACCATAAAGGGTTGCTGAATGGAGGGAGGGGGAGCCCAGCCCTGGCCTGAGCTCCAGACAGCTGCACAAGCCAAGTGCTTGGGGCAGCAGGGCTGCAGCCTCAGAATGTCCTGCCGGGATGCAGGAGGGGGAGAGGCTCTCGGTGCTGAAAAAGGAAAGCAGCAGAAAGGCAGGGCAGCATGGGGCAGCAGGGCTGCAGCCTCAGAATGTCCTGCCGGGATGCAGGAGGGGGAGAGGCTCTCGGTGCTGAAAAAGGAAAGCAGCAGAAAGGCAGGGCAGCAGAACAGGCTCCGGGAGGTAAGGGCTGTACCCCGGGCTGCAGCAGAGGCCCAGGGCTCTCCCAGCCAGCCCAGGGCTGCACTGGTGGAGCACTGGTGGAACCCTGCAG